AAAAAAAAAAACAAAACGACCTAACATTACTCGAACTAGTACACTACATCTCCATACGTACATCTTCAACTTCTAACAAACGAATTTGTGTAGACGAACTTTACCTTTTTTCTACTCAGCATTCGACCTGACAAATAAAGACGACTGCACTGACCACACATACTGCATAAAATACTCACAATTGGACTGTGCAACCTTTTTCGTGAAGACCAACTGCAAATCCCTTTGTGGACTTTGTGGTAAGTGTGAGACAGACGTTGACATTCAAAACTCCAACTTGCGACAAGGAGCAATCCTGTCCCACATATGCGACGGAAAATATATTACTTTTTTTTAATTCTTAAGGTCAGCGCAAGATGATAAAGCTGCCAATGGTAGTGTATTACAACAAACACAAGGCTGCGGCAAAGAAGCATGTCGTACGTAGAGCAGCTAATCCAACCTACCCTCCAACGACCACCCAGACACTCTTCGACTATGTCGGCGGTTACAACAAATGGAATTTCCAGTTCACTGATAAACATCCCATCCAAATGGACTGGAGCAAACCACAACCCCCCTTAAAACCCGCTGACCAGACCTCCAATCAAGCCGACACACAAAATAGCCAACAAGCTGCAGCTGCTGCACCTGCCGCTGACCAGTCTTCTTATCAAGCTGCGCCTGCACAGAACGACAACGTTGCTTCCTCAAGCTCCGCTCAAACAGCGTCTGCTTATCCTGCGGCCCAGAATGCATTCCAGCCACAGGCCGCCTCTCCTGAACAGAACACATATCAGAATCAACAACCTGTTGCTGCTGCTTCAACTGGTACCCAAGCTAATGACGATACAACTACAATCAAGCTTCCAAACAGTGCACTTGAACGAGGTATGAATCGATCCCTCAGGTTTATGAAACACGCACTTAACAATAGACAGGTGACCGGTCGCATTCTAGAGGTGCAATGACGTCATAATTGTCATGTTGGTTGGCTTGAACAATAAAAACTGGTCTTGGTTTCATCTGTTATGGCAACCAACATGGCGGCCATGTCTTTGTCCTTGTGACGTCATAGCCGCCATGTTGGTTGACTTGAACAAAAGATTTGGTTTTGGTTACTTTTGTTATGTCAACCAACATGGCGGCCATGTCTTTTGTCCTTGTGCATGTGACGTCATAGACGCCATGTTGGTTGACTTGAACAAAAGATTTGGTCTTGGTTTCTTTTGTTATGTCAACCAAGATGGCGGTCATAGTTTTTTCTTCTTCCGTCACTGGAAGGAATTCTTGTAAAATTGCAGCACAGTCGCCTAAGGTGACTATCAAATGTGGTCACCGAACTATGTAGTACTGGAAGTCTTACTGTTGTTCGATAAAGATTTATCCAATAATAGGTTGGTTTAGATAGGTTTTGTTAACAGTCGGTAGGTCGCATAAAGAAGGTTTTGCTTCAGTGGAAGCCGGTTGGTAGCTTTAGTAACGATTTTTGCCCGGGATTTGCCTGGTGCTGAAAGATTTTGCCATGTGAAAGCCGTTCGGTCGTTTTAAAAGGGGCTTTGTCGGGTTAGAGCTTAATGTATCATGTTGATCACAATGTGTTGTTACTAGCTAATCAAGGCAAAGATGTTTACGTTGCTCTTGTTGACGAAAAAAAGCAGAACAAGCCCAGTTACACTCTTACTTCTGCACAAAATGATGCACCAAAAAAACAAGACGATAACCCTATTCAAAGCTTTAATTATGCTCCTGTAAAAGTACCATGCCCTCCTGGCCAGGAATGTAACTACAAGGGACCCAATGCACCACAAGGTGAGACGCTGACATACAGGGAGTACTTCCTAGCTATGGGAAAATGAAAGCGTGATAAACAGAAAGGATAGAAAGAAAGAAAAAAAAAAAAAAGAATTAAGGGGGGAATAGAAAAAATGGGAGAATAGAAAGGAAGAAAGAAACAACGCGAAAGGAAACGCAAGAATGAAANAGAAAGGAAGAAAGAAACAACGCGAAAGGAAACGCAAGAATGAAAAAAAAAATGCAAGAAAAAAAAATGAAAATAAAAGAAAGAAACAAAGGAAGGAAAAAATGGATAAATGAAAAGAAAGAAAATATGAAGGGAATAAAGAAAGGAATAAAATTAGGAAAGAAAGAAAGAAAAACGAAGGGGTCAAAGGCAAAACAGAGAGAGAAATGACAAAAAAGCAAGCGAGGGTGAAAAAAAACAATGCTCACATACTGAGCCATGAAAGCTCTCTCAAACTTCCATCCACAAACATCCAGAACTCGACGCACGCTAATCATCAAACCGTTTCCTGTCCTACTTGATTTGATTTACAAAGGACTCTTGACTTGACAATACAAACTCTATAATAATAAACCTCTTTACCTTGAGTGTAATGTTTTTCCATTCCAGACCACGTGTCATTCCCTTGAGGATAAGATTCTTCGTTTGAGCTGTATCCATATTCATGTTTCTTCTCATGCGCAACAGTTAAACAAAGAAATCATACTCTAGGGAATGACATGTGGTCTGAAATGAGAAAATATTACGCCCAAGGTAAAGGGGTTTATGCAACTCAATTTAGATGACATAACAAAAGGTTTCCAATTCTCGGGAGATTGAAATTCTTTTGTTTTGTCCTCCAAATTGAGCTGCTTTGACGTCTATTAATGAGGGGTCTATCGATGACTGTTAATGATAAATTAATACTGACGATAATGCATGTTTTCTCAGTGAACCAGACCTTTATGGTATACTGTGACGATAGGTTTCCCAGTTGTGGAGTCCTTCATTCTTCTTGTAACGATTCCTGGCTTCAACTCTACTGCCCAAAGCGATGCAACCTGTGTAGACGTATGAAAAACATTTACTTAACTTACATGACTAGCACCACAGGGACCCCGCGCTAGAGTTATTTTACATTAACCGCTCGGAAGATTTGAATTTTTTTTTGACCTTTTCATTATGGCGTCATTAACTATATCTACCAGAATCCCTTACACACCAATTGTGCTAATTAACTGAACAAAATTTGTATAAGGAAGGAAATTTGCAAAGCATTTTGGTAGTAGTAGTAGAATGACGCCATTGTGCAAACGACCTATTGAATGACATCGTGAGTGATCATTCAAAAGCAATTTCGGAGCCGGTCCATATTTCCAATTTTCGAGTGTTAATAACTCAAGTGACCTTGAAATGGATTTGACATTCCAGCACGAAACATGGAAGTTACTAAATGCATTGATTGGATTAAAAACAGCCAATCATGTGATAGGAGACCTATGAATGACGAGTCTTGTAGTACGCGGGTTCCCTGTGGTCAACATACTAATGATAATGATAACAATGGTAATAATCATAATAATACTCAATAATAATAACACTAATAAATAAATAATAATAATAACAATAATAAATAAATAATAATAAATAATAGTAATAATGATGAAACAGATGAACCAATAGCGCTATTACAAATTAATACTAATAAATATAAAATATATACTAATATATTGCTAATTACTAATTAATGATAAAAGTATTTTGATTAATACTAATATTATATATATATTAATATTTATTTATTTATTTACATAATTAATATTAATACTATTAATATTAAAAACATTCAACAAATATCTATATAAACATGCTGCTAAAACACTAATAGCTACAATGACTCGCACTATAGCTAATGTAGTCGAAATATTATTTTACACTACGACATACTAATAATATGACCTTTCAAATAGTTCCATTCACAGTTCCCTGCGCCATCTTGAAAGGTAGCCGTGCCTTTGCATCGAAGCGAGACGAACGGTGAGCTGGCAATGATAGTTTTTTGACACCTTGGACAATTTTTCACATGTCTCTATCATTGCAAGCTCACCGTTCGTCTCGCTTCGATGCAAAGGCACGGCTACCTTTCAAGATGACGCAGGGAATTGTGAAGGGGACCATTACGATACAATAACAATGACATGAGCCGAAAGTTAAAATTTGCTTGGGCTTTGAAAATAATATTTTCGATTTCTTATGTTTTCGTCCTATGAAACTATATTTTATCAACTGCAATTCTACTTGAAACGTTTTGTCAAATTACCATTTGCAACTAAAGCTGTTTTAGCTTAGTTTAGTTTAGTTTATATGTCACAATATAAACAAATACATTTCATAAAACTTGAGACAAAAATTTTGTGACTGGCGAAGAAAACAGAACTTACGTCCCAATTGATATTCCCTCTCCATACAATTTACATACAGTACAAACATGATTAACATTAAAATTGACGAGGAAAAAAACAATAATGAAAAGAAAAACATATCAAAATTTATCAAAATTCAAATTCAAAAGACTTTAAGGTGGTAAGTAATGTTCCATTTTGGAAGCAAAATGGGTGGTCGCAAGTTCCTTAAATTTGGAAAGGCTTGCATCATTCATTTTACAGTGTTTTGGTAGCGAGTTCCATAGTTTCGTCCTATTAAAGTGTTTACAAGAAGTGATTGTTAGGTCTCTCCCTTTATTTTTCTTTTTCTCCGGGTGCTCCGGTTTTCTCCGCGAAAGTAATGTTTGCATAAAAAGCGTATCACAGAGAAATTTCAAGAATGAAAATTCTATGAAGCCGAGTAACGTAGTTGAGGAAACCGACTAAATGAAAGGATAGTTTATCATCATAACTAATTTAAAGAAGCTCAAATTTTATTTAGAAATAATATTTATTAGTTTATTTTTAATTCAATAAGCCGTTCGCATGATGGCGTCATCTAATTTTACAACTACTATCAGAATGCTGCATGCATTTGGTTTAATTTATAAATTTTATTCCCCTCATGACAATAACAGGACAAGTGGGGGTTACAAACTGAGCTGAAAGTGTGCAAGGCATTCTGGTAGTGGTAGTACATGACACCATAATACAATCATGTTATCGTTCAGAACCTCTTTTGAAGACAAAAGTGTAAAAAAGATTCTTGTTGTTGTAAGAACACTGAACAGGCTATTAGACCTTTCGAGGTTGAGGAACAATTGCTGGTTTTCAATCATTCCCAAGAGAATGAAATAACAAAAGACAAGGCGGCCATGTTGGATGATATAACAAGAGACTAATGACGAATCTGTTGTTCAATTCATCCAACATGGTGGCTTTGAAAGCCATCAATAGGACGAAAATTAAAACCAGGGTCGAGTTTGCATTGCAGTGTAATTTGGTAATGTTTTAGGGGACATCTTTTTAAAATGGCAGATCCCATTTCGCCCCCACCCCCACCCCCCTAAAAGTCGCACAATGCACTACAATACGAACTCGACCCAGTTTTTCCTCTTCATCGGAATGGCTAATAACGATTAGACTTGTGTAGTTACATTTGCTCGTATTTTAAAAATAGCCGAGGACCAGCCCATGCAACTCAACTCAACCCAGCAAGATGCTTCTATCACCAATGACCAACAACAGCAACAGACCCAATTTGGCAACAAGGTTTACCCAACCAAAATAACCGAGCTCAAGGACGAATCACCCAAGATGGAGTCAGAACTAGTCGCCCCAGAGCCTGGACAAAAGGCAGAAAGAGCAAAGTATACCCTTCATGTTGTGCCTAAGTTGAAGGATGGAATACCACAGACTCAAGAGATTCTTATCATGCCACCCAATGCTAGTCCTGGTTCTGATGTTAAACCTCTTGTCATCTTGAAGCAGGTTAGTCAATCTTTTCGTCTCTTGAGTGTTATGTTTATCAATACAACACAGGTAGCTCAACGAAGCTGAGCTAAAAAAATGTACGGCGATCCTTAAAGACCTCTTGAAATAAAATCGTCAAAATGTGAAAAAAAGTGAATAAATCTTAGCTCACCTTTGAAAAGTAGTACCTCTTTCATACTTTGTGGTCAGATTTTGGATTAAGTCAGTTTTACCGCTTTTTTCTCTCCTTACTGAATAAAATCTTTTAAAAGATGAACTTTCGTGTAACATAAAATGCTGTGAAATTGTTAGAGTTAGGTTAAGTTTGCGCTAGCTGTCGAACACACTCGCTAACTGGTCGTTGGCGTCGAGGGTGGAGCACGAGGAGGATATCGCACTTTGAGGACGTCTTAAGTCTAAGTCAAGTGTTATTTTGAGCACTAATTTTTGTGTCTTAATACAGAGAGTCACCAAACCAATGATTGAAAACATCGAAATTGATGTCCCACCAAAAGGAACCAAATACAGCGACGAACCAAAAGTTGAAGTGATCGAAGGAAACAAACACGAATCTCTTAACGTTGTCGGAGGACAAGCTGATTTGAGCCAAGCTGAGGCTGAATTACAAGCAGACAAGACGCAGCAATCCCAAGATGCCACACCAACTCAAACTACTCCTGCCGAGACCACCGCGGCTAATGCCACCGCACAGGGTAACTATAACTGGACTACGACTCCCGCACCAGCTGCTGCAGTACCAGCTCAACAACCAGCTGCTCAGACCCAAGAAACACAGCCAGCTCAAAATACCCAAAGCCAGTACTCCCAAACACAGACGTACCAAGATACCCAGAACCAGGCCACCCAGAGCCAGGCTGCTCAGCCTGCACAGTCGTATCAAGATACTCAGGCCCAGGCTTCTCAGACTCAAGCCGCACAACCTGAGGCTACTCAAACCCAGGCTACTCAGGATCAAGCTCAATCACAATCTGCTCAGCCACAGGCAACCCAGTCATATGCAGCGGCAACACCAGGTACAACAGACAATATAAAATTAGTGTGGGAGGGGCGAAGGGTGAGGGTGGCAAACGCCCACCTCCAAAAAATCAGATTTACATTTTATACTTTATTTTTTTTCGAACAAAAGTGTCAAAAGGTTTGAGAAGTATGACCACAATTTCAAAAATGTATTCTTATTTTTAGCTCCAACTTCAGCTCCTGCCACGGCCCAAGCCGCCGCTTACCCAGCACAACAGACTTGTGAGTTTTATATATATATATATTTTAGGGTATTAATATATGATTTTCGCGATGGCAAATTCTATGATTCTGCGTGTGATATTGAGGATCTATATGAAATTGGATTTACCACATTATGGTGGCAGATAGCCTGCAACCCACTTAATAAGTCACCGATATATCCAATTAGAATTTAGAAGTTGCTCTTTGTGGAGGGCGGAGAAAAGACCTTAAAGACTTTCAATAACAAGCAATAATGGCAAAAAGCGCCAAAAACTAGACTTTTGTATGAGTTTTGATCCCAATTTTTGTTTTTGGTTAACACTCTCAAAACCTTTTTTTAACAGTTAGAAACTGATGTACTATGATAAAATGGCTGTTTGAAGCGGTATTTTCAATTGTCCAAAGATGTTTTGTTGCATTTGTGTTAGAATGCTTTGTCAGGCTTTTTTATAGAAAACATATGGAAAATCAGCAAATGAAGGCCTAAACCTTATTTTCGAATAAAATTCTAGCCTTGTGTTAACACTTTGATTCCACTTTCATCGGTTATCTCCACTTCCAAACAAGTTAGACTTTCTGAATAACGAGATTTTAGCCTTGTACAACAGCCTTTCTTCGAGAAAATAGTTTTTGGCGCTCACTGCTTGAATACGAAAAGAATTCTCTCTTAATATTATTTTATTTATAAGCTAGGAAATAAGCATAGAATAATTTTACTTTTGTCACTAGCTGAAAGGAGAACTCTGAGAAAAATCATTGTCCCAAATAGGTATCAAACCCATGACCTTCCGGATACCAGTCGTATGCTTTGTCACTGAGCATGCGTCTTTCCTGTAGCTGATTTTTTTCAGAAATTTGACGAATGATAAATTATTCTATACTTTATACATTGTTTGATCTGTTATATGATATTTGTTTTATTGTTGGCACAGACACTGCAGCTCAAGCATGCTCTGATGATGCCATCTGTGCTTCATATACCGATACAATGTGCAATCAAACTTGGCTCCAGAATCACTGCAAGAGCAAGTGCAAGCTTTGTTAATTTAAGGTGCGAATGATTTGCGAACAGACTTTCTTTGATTCATAGCTCCATGCAGAGAAAAATATGTATACTAGGAAACGTCGTCATCCTATACCTCTTCGTCACCATGACCACCAAAACAACCATTAACAATATCATCATCATCATGACATCATCACTACCAGCATCATCATCATCAATTTAACCATCATCCTCATTACCACAACCATGCACAACTACAACCATTATCAAGATCATCACCATCATGACATCAACACTACCAGCATCATAATCGCATTAACCATCATCCTCATTACCACGACCATGCACAACTACAACAAATACAACCATCAATATCATCACCATCATTATAGTCATCACACCATCAGTATCATCATCATCATCACCATCATCATCATGACATCACCACTACCACCACCATCATCATCACATTGAAAATCAACACCAACCTCCTCATTACCACGACCATGCACAACCACAACCACCAATATCATCACCATCATCATCATCATTATCACTGCCACTACCACCATCATCACCATTATCATCATGTCCATCACAATTATCATCACCACTATCACCTTTATCATCATGGCCACCATCATCATTGTGGCAACCAAACCAACAACACTGTCATTATCATCATTATTACTATCAAATATCATTATCGCGACCATCATCATTACCATCATGATCACTACCACGATCATTGTCATAGTCTTCAGTATATCATCATCATCAATATAGCCAATCTACTCGAATGTACTGACAAGTACACAGTGAACACAATGAGCTAATTATCATTTTTTTGTAAATTTCAGATCGTAATTGCAATAAATAAAAGCTTTTAGCAGAAACAAAGGCTAGACTATGTGATGAACCTGTCAATTCTTAAGAGCCTTAACAAGACGATGGAAAGCAAACTCCAAAAATATGTAAAGGAAGGAAATTTGCAGTAATATAATCCAAGCCGAATAGCTTACTTTGATTTTGTTGAGTGCTCTAATAGACTTTTCGGTAGTTAATTTTTTTCATTTTCTTTTGATCCGGCATTTTAGTTTTTTTTGTTTTATTGTGTGTCATATACACGGATAAGTATCTATTTAAGTACATATTGTAACTCCAATATCCTTTCTTCTCTTGTTTAGTTCTAATAAAAAATTGTATTTGATGGTAGTATTTGATGAAAATGTCCGGGCCATGATAAAAGGGTTTCGACGAAGGAATTTTTTTTTATGGATTCCAGATGCACATCTTGGATTCTAGATTCCAGATTGTATATCGCGGATTCCACATTGCAGATCTTGGATTCCAGATTTCACTTCTTGGATTCCAGATTGTACTTCATGGATTAAAGATTTTACATCATAAGTTCTAGATTGCACATCTTGGATTCCAGATTGCACATCTTGGATTCCAGATTGTACTTCATGGATTCCAGATTGTACTTCATGGATTCTAGATTGCACACCCTGGATTCCAGATGCACATCTAGGATTCAGTTTCCATATCTTGGATTCCAGATTGTATATCGCGGATTCCACATTGCAGATCTTGGATTCTTGATTCCATATCTTGGATTCCAGATGCACAACTTGGTTTGCATTTTCCATATCTTGCATTTCTATATCCCAAAATTCAACTCAAGGAAACTGCTCTATTCGAGAGTGGAAGTTTTCAAATAGACCCGTTTCGAATTCCAAATTACCGCTGTGTTTCTTGATTACAGACTCATTTGCACAGGGTTAGCCTCGAGTTTGTGCAGAATATTCACGTGTTGCAGTCAAGGTCCGTCAAGCTTCAAAGTGTTTGTATTGTTGAAGTTGTGCATTCTTTACTTTACCGTTGGTATTTGTGAATATTTAAACACTGATACGAGGCTAACCCTGTGCAAATGAGTCTGTAATCAAGGAACACAGCGGTAACTTGGAATTCGAAACTGGTCTATTAACTTTACAATTGACTGCTTTCCGCATATCATAAAACTGGTCGAGCTCAACCATTTAATTAATATCGCAAAGAAAAATTAAAGAATTTTGACGATTATTTTATGGATTTAGTGCAAAGAAGTGAAGCAGTGAAAATGTAAACTGTAAATAGATGATAAAGATGGTAAAATCATGGTAAAAACTTAGTGTTAATACGAGTTAATACGAGTATTTTAAGAACTGCAACTTCTCAATAATTCATAGCAAATTAATCTACCCTTCAAGTGTCACGTGGTTTTATGGATGATCGGGATTTGCTAAGATATCAAATATTTCCAACGATTCAGTTCTTCTACAGATTTTCTCAAAATGTTGCTCGGTGTTTTTGTTGTGTTGTGCCTTTCATTTGTAGCAAATGGACGAAAGTTTCACAAACATGGTAAGTAAGCAAACAAAATCAATATTATTTGTTTATATTTTCTTGTAAAAACATAAAGATATGTTTTTATGGTACTGGTACGAGATGAGAAGTTAAACAATATCATTAGCTTCTGTAAAACGCAACCAAATGCTCCGTAAACAGTCCTTTTTTTCTCTAAATCTTCAAATATACTTCTTCTCGTCAAAAACAAATAACACTTAAATCACTCTACCCATTATTTTTACAATATTTTTAGCAAAAACATCTTTATTTTGCTTACAAAGGTGAAATAACAAAAATAAAATGTTTGTAAATTATTCGTTTTCGTGATGCTAAAAGACACATTAAAAATCATTTCAAAATTTCATGACCTTCTTTCGAGGTTGAAGATTTTAAAATTGGTGTTAAGCCAAACATAGCCAAGATAAGTAAATTTAGTTCAAATTTTTGATGGTTTTTATTTTTACTCGTAAGAGCTCTGGGTGGTGTTTCCTAAACGGCCAATGACTCAGCCACCAGTAAAACAGCAGGTCACAATGCTAGACCCGCTAAGATTTGATAGTTTGATCATCATTCGTCACGGCCTATCTATTTGTTTTTATCAAATGAGAAGACTGAATAAACCCTATTCTTCTTGGATTCGACAACCTCTTTCTTACGACCATCTTATTTGTCAATCTGACCACTTCTATCACAGGGAGCCCGGCTTGGTGATGCTAAATCGGTAAAACGATCACGTTTCATATATTGATGACATTACATAATAATCGTAACTCAATACACCCCTATTACAAACGGTCACTACGTAATAGAACTTGTAATGCAATAGTGTTAGATGCCTCCTTTCTCTCTTCTTAACGCGTGCGTTACGTATTTGAATTTGAATTTATCACGGTATTAAGTTACGCGTTACGAACACTGGTGTTCCATTAGTAGTGACCGTTTGTATATGGGGGTATTGAGTTACGATTGTTATGTAATGTCATCAACATATGAAACGTGATCGTTTTACCGAGTTAGCATCACCAAGCCGGGCTCCCTGTGCTTCTATCAGTATTTTTATACTCTTATACTAATATCGGACAGTTTACCATCTTGTATAATGGACCAAAAAAAATGGAGCTCTTTGCCTAATTATATCACTAATACTATTTCCTTATCTCTTTTGAAAAGATCGTCTTTTCCTATTTATATAACGATACATAATTTATACAAAATTTTAACGTGTTTGTCTTATACAGATGAGAATATGTGGACCGCGTAGCACTTATGAAATACATGAAGATATAGAAATATAGATAAGTTACAGTGCTTGGGAACGAGGTTATTCCGGTCAAAAGACCCTTGGAATTAAATTCGGAAAAAATAATTTCCGACCTCGCATAACTTATCAATATTTCTATGTCTTCATGTGCTTGTCTTATAGCTAATTTGAATTTATAAGCGGTAAAATTTATCCTCCGAGGGAGGTTTCTGCCTCGAAAGCCTTTTGGTTTCTAGAAACCTAATACTTTGTAGTGTAAATTATTATTATTTATTACCTTGCCAGCCTACATCTGGAACGGATATTCTGAATGCATTATACTTTAGTTGTTTAAAATCACATGTATGTTATATTCTATTATCTTTTAATCTTTAAATGACTTAATGGCGAAATATATTCAATGAAATTCTCGGGTTACATGTTACGTCATGGCCGCCATGTTGGTCGACGCACAGGCAGCCCAATCTAGGAGGATGATAACTTTTTAAAAACGCACCAAACTGGCTTCAAAATCAGCAAAACATCAAAAGATAGAACAAGCTATCAAGGAAAGTCTTTTTTATTCTTAAAAGTACTAACTTTACAAGCTACGAAATATTACCGTTTATATTCAAATAATACAACACAACAGAACAAGAGATTGGGTTGTCTGTGGTCGACGATTACGAAGCATTCCTCGATTAGAATCTATTATGTTAGATAAAAATAATAATTTTTTTCCGGTCCGCTATCCTAAAAAATCGTTCGTTCTGATTGGCTGTTTGAGCGGGCGGTATTTTGTCAGTATCTGCCCGCGCTCGCGGTCCGGTATCCTTTGCCGCTAAACAACAAAACAAAACGATTACAAAAACAAGTAAAAAAATACGGGAAAAAAAATAAACAAGTTATTTACCGTCCAGTAGTCGGTCCCTCGGTTGTGCCCTCGGTCTTGAAAACGGAAAACATATATTCAAGACCTCGGGCAGCTTTTCCCTATCCGGACCTCCAGGCCGGTAAATAACATATATATCACACACACTTCCACTCTCACACACTTCCACTGCATTCAATGTTCTATGCACACAACGCTCAACTCACATGTAAATTTATGTTGATCAACCAACATGGCGGCTGTTTCATTGTTATTTATATGTCATGGGATTTTAATTTATGTGGATGCACCCCAAAAATACGACTGTGGTTCTTATTTATGTTCACTTTTTCATACTTGAAAATCGTTATTTGTTTCTCTTAGGGTCAGAACACCTACGTGTACCTCAGGGTCTCTCTCATACGACCACTGTCATTTAATAATCCCAGGGTGCTCTTACTTGTCTTTTACGACGATCATTGCTAATAATCTTAGGGTTTTCGTACCTGTCTTACACGACCATTCTTATTGTAAATAACTTTAGGGTCTTCGGACCCGAAATTATACGATCATCTTTATTTACTAATCTCAAAATGCGATTGCTTCTTTTTTACGGCGTTTATTGTAAATAAACTTAGGGTCTACGGACTTCTCATATACGAACATTCTCAATTATTTATCGCGAGGTTCGAGTACCGCTCTGTAATGACAATTCTTATTTATTGATCTCAATGTCAGACGACGACCTCTTCTATACGACCATATTTATTTTACGTAATCTAATGGACAGATCATTTCTCTTTTACGACCAAAAATTTAAATAATATTCTAGGCCCAGGGTCCGAACGCCTTTTTCATAAGAGAATGAGGATTTATATCACAATGCTTTCTACAAGACCTAATCTATTGTATTTCCCAATTTCATCTTCATTTTCCAGAGCGATATCATCTATACAAAAAGAACCACATTAGCGGCGCACATCGGTCTTTGGTTTTTGACATCCCAGACCACGTGAACAAAGGTAAAAAGGGTAGGTCATGATGTAATGAGGATTAATACTAAGACTTAATCTTAGGCGCTGTTTGCAACAGTTGCATGAAAGTTTGCAAGAGGCAGAGCTACCGAGGTATGTCACACGTATATTGGCGTCTATTCCAGCGACAAGACTATGAGTTCACCTTTAAATCAATCAATCAATCAATCAATCAATCAATCAATCAATCAACAAAAACAGATTTCCAATGGTGCGGGATAAATCTTTATATAATAAATCACTGACCGTAGCTCAATGGCTCTCTTCATCATAAATTTCTTACCTTAACTATAGGATGCAAACATGGTGGAATTCTTAGGAAGCACGGAGAAGTGTGGTCTCCTGGTCCTTGTATCCCAGAATGTCACTGTATCAACGGCGAGGTCACGTGCAGCAAACTTGAATGCCCGGATTTGAATTGCGAAAGAACAATAAAGAGGAAGTGGAAGTGTTGTCCGGAATGTCCCCCTATAACAGAACGAAACGGTAATTAATTTTAATATTAAAAGACAGAACAAACAAAAAATGTCCAAAGCATTAACATCTAAGGATATGAAAAGTGACACTCGAAAAACCGAATTTTCAAAAGGTCTCTTCCTTGAATCGATTTCCTCCCTCTTCAAAACCCTAGAAACTAAATCCCAATCCCCTCTATGAGTTAGCCGTGTTCAGCCTTAGATCAGCTCTGAGGCAACAAATGTAGAAGACCCCTTTAGTTGTGGCATGAGTTTCATTTCTTTGTTTATCGGTTGTACATGAGAAGACACATGAATATGGATGCGACTTAAAAAAGAATCTTATTCTCAAGAGAATGACACATGGTCTGAAATGGAAAAACATTACACCCAAAGTAATCTGCTCTATAACCATCATGGCAATGTCAAAATACTTTTAACGATTCGTCTTTGTCTTCTTTAGGTGACAAATGTGGAGTGAGAACCATCGGTGGAAATGCCAATTCCTCTTGTTGCAACTTCCCATTCAAGTACAACGGTGTTTTGTACTATACATGCACGTATCAGAACCATAACAAACCATGGTGTGCTGTCACTGCTAACTTCGACCGCGATGGTGTATGGGGGTCGTGCGTGGGTAGGTTTTGTAGACTGGAATGCTTTGAATAAAAGAAAGCCCTCACTATGAGGGTTGTCTTTTATCACAGAGATTGGTTGATTTCTAAAATCCAATATTCCACTTTACAGTTCCCTGCGCCATCTTGAAAGGTAGCCCTGCCTTTGCATTGAAGCGAGAGGAACGGTGAGCTTGCAATGTTAGCGAGACACGTGAATAATTGTTCAAGGTGTTAATTAAAAAAGGTCTCATTGAAAGCTCACCGTTTGTCTCGCTACGATGCAAAGGTACGGCTACCTTTTCAAGATTGCTCTGGGAACTGTGAAAGGGACTATTCTTATCGAACCCTGAAATAACCTCGTTGCTTAGCTCAGGCGTAGCTCAGTTGGTTAGCACGCGACCTTCAGAGTTAGTGGCCAATGGTTCGACCCTCAGGATCTTTACGTTTGTTTCAACTTCTCTCTGTTTCGTATAGCTTTAGCTTTAAGAACCCGTAATGTGGAGCACTGATAGTCTGAGGGGGTAAACGACGCACCCTCGAGCGCATTATGCATTAGCTCCTGGTTAGAGAGATTTGGGCAAGCACTCCCCGCGTTATTAAAGTAAAATTTTAGCTTTACCTTTTTAGTTTTTAAGTCAGGGCACGGCTAGCCCACAGATCAAACACTGAAACARCCTGTGGGCTGATCTAGATATGTAAATCAGGGCCCGATTAACTCACAGATTGTAGGAGGCAGGAAAACCAGAGCTTCTGTCTATTTATAATCTCATCATTTTGTTTTAATAACATACTTTGATAAAATCTTTTTGACAGACGAAAGGAAAACAAAAAAGAAATTTCATCCAGTGAACGGTAAATTTCAGGACGACGTGACTAGTCACACAACATCTTCTCTGGCAACAGGAACAGCTAATCACATCCCCAAAATTTTACCATCTCTCACTGTAAATAGTGTCACACCAGACCATCATCCTATGCCTCCGCTTGATCCCAGCCTTCTCAAACAGTGGGCAGATACTCCTCAAAACAAAGAGGGAATCCTTCCTTACTCAGCCATACAAGAACGAGTATCATCAATCTGGAAAAAAATTGGATTTAAGAAGCGTGTGTACAATATGCTTTCTAAAGCTGGAGGTCAAACTGTCACCGTGGCACTTGCAAATGGAGGGTTCCTTCCAAAAGCCAAGCAATCGTACATCATTYCCAGTCAATACTTGAGCCCACGACCAATCATACCGAAAGTCGCTAATGTTGTAAATGTTGGAAACGTAAATTGTCAAAATGCTAATAATGCTGTCGCGATGTCACAAGCTATAGTTACGTCCTACACTGCTGCGATAGTGCCAACTAGAAGCACGCAGGTGACAATGGTATCATCTCAGATTGTAACTGGAGGAAATGTTCAAGGAAGTGGTGGACAAATTCTTCCTTCTAAGGTTACTGTGCCCCAGGTTACCTTGACGACAAAAGTCTCTGGTAAAGTTGCGACCACAAAACCGGTAACAACTAGTCAAGTGACCGGAAGTCCAGTCACTACAGTGAAGCCTACTACCTCTGGTCAAGGGATTGGGATTCAGGGTACGACAGCAATGCCTACTACAGCTCCTAAAGCAAATGAAAGCCAAGTTACGACTCCAAAACCGACTGGAAACGGGAAAACACTTTCGGATGCAGTTCTTTCAAATGTCCAGCCACCTTTAACAAATGACTGGAAGAGCTCCTCTAAAGGTTTGTCAAGTCCTTCCGACATACCTGCCAATGTGACTTTACTTCAAACCCTACAAAAACAAGGACAATTGGATGCATCTGCCAAAGTAGTTGCCCAGCAACAACCATGGTCCCCGTATGGTAGAATATCGTATAGAGAACCAATGAACTCGACTAATCAGCATGGAGGAATGAACGTCTCAATTCCAACACAAAACTTTACACCTATGCCACCATATTGGAACAACGTGACTGCCCCACAGATGCTAAACAATGGTTCATTTGGTTTTCCAAATATTATACCCACAACTATGCCACCTCCATTTGTATGGCCAAATATTACAGCCCCAACTCAGTCCACAAAAACTACTGCCAGCACCTTTGTCTGGCCAAACGCAACCGCTCCAACGAAGCCTCCAGTTGTTTGGCCCAATATGACTGCACCTCCTGTAAATACGACTATGGTACCACCAGTTTCTGGACAAAATGCTTCAGCAATAAACTGGCCAGTTTTTACTCTTCCTCCGCTGATTCCAGTGAATACAACAACGGCTCCAAGGGTCCAGGGAAACACATTCCTTCCTCAGACCGGCGCTACAGGTGCTGCAGTTAACAACCAGACAGTAGGTGCAGCTCCTTCTGCAGCCATAAACACATCGCAGCTTGTACAACCAGTAAATGTCAGCAACAACCAAGCAGCTAAACCGTACAGCAGTTCCAACTCCTATAGCAGCTCCGATCCTAATAGCAGTTCAAACTCTTATACAAGCTCTGATCCTAACAGCAGTTCTAGCTCATATAGTAATTCCAACACTTACAGCAGTTCCAGCACTTACAGCAGCTCCGATCCTAATAGCAGTTCCAACACTTACAGCAGCTCCAATCCTAATAGCAGTTCCAACACTTACAGCAGCTCCGATCCTAATAGCAGTTCCAACTCTTATAGCAGCTCCGATCCTAACAGCAGTTCCAACACTTACAGCAGCTCCGATCCTAACAGCACTTCCAACACTTACAGCAGCTCCGATCCTAACAGCACTTCCAACACTTACAGCAGCTCCGATCCTAATAGCAGTTCCAACACTTACAGCAGCTCCAATCCGTACAGCAGTTCTTCCAGTTATTCAGATCCTTACCAACAGCAACAAGACCAATCGACAAGTGAGAAAACAAAACAAAGTGAAGACAGCAGCAAGACCAAAGAAAATGAAGAAAAGAAAGAAGACGACCCGTCGGCACATTTGTATGAATACATGACCGTGCAACCACCTGGAGAACCTGTGGTCCCCGCGGATCCTTACGAGGCTCAGAGACGTATTGCACAAGAAGCAAGAGAACTAGCAGAATCATATAATACTTACTTAAAGAATTTCTATGCCAGTCATGGATACAGTGGCTAAGAAGAAAGAAGCTCCAAAGACTATATTCAAATAAAGCTGTTTGCTTAATCGTTGCAATAATAATCAGAATAAACTATTTCAATCGACTTTCCAGCTGAAATGTATCAGCCTTAAAGCACGTGCATGAATATATAGAATTTAGAATTTAAAAATCAAAGAAAAAAGGCCTTTTAGCTAAAAGAAAAGAAAAAATGGCAATCCCACATGGTCTTAGCTTTAGTAATATATGCCTTAATGATATTTGAATGAAGTTTTCGCGGGGCTTAAATTGTGGACTGGTTTAAAAAAAATTGCTTTGGATTATCAACAAGATCTTTGGAAACTCTAAGGCGAGTTTTAAGAGAGAAAAAGCGGATTTAGTAATGTGGTCATCAAATTCATGCAACCTTTCTAGCAAAAGTCAAAGTGTGGAGTAAATTTTTTTCGTGTTACCAATCAAGTTGGAATAGATTTATTTCTTGTACGTGGTAGAAGCTATCTCTACTCTTTGCAAAAAAAGAAAAATGTATATCTTCCAGAAATACGAGCGACATTTTGGTCTGCAATTTATGAAGGCAAAAACATGTTGCAGGACGATGCATGTGGTACAAAATTTCTGCTGTACTACCGCACCTAATTTTATCTTTTACTTATTTATAGTTTAATAAATATTATTCAAATTTTGTCACTTAACAAGAGAACGAGACGAACGGTGAGTTGTTTCTTGTTTTATGGATTAAGAGAAATTGCGTTGTCTTCTATCGTCTCGGTGGATGTTTATAAAAAGATTTTTGCTTTCCTTTCAATTTTTTTTTGTTCAGGGGTTTAGTTTAGCTCGTAAATATATGACTTACCGTTCGTCTCGTTTCGATGTTAATCATCATAATTTATTCATTATGGCAGAGGAACTGTGAAAAAGAAATTATGCCAGCTAAAGTTAGTTTCTAATAATTTGTGAAAACACGATACTCTTTTCTCTATGTTAGAGCTCAAATAAACAAAATATAATGCAAAGTTGAATACTGGTACAGTGGTATACAAACAATGCTCGTGAAATATTACAAAAACTAAATAGCACTAAACACATCTATTTCTTTTGTTGTCAATTGTTTCATTGGTGCTATGTTGTACTAATTGGTTAGTACTGTTTTACAGACATATGGTTTGCACTCTAAGCAGAATTACTAATGATATTTCCCAAAGGTTTGCCAATTACTTGAACCAACCAATGAAGATATATAATAAAAATGTTATCTGCAGCAAAAAGGAAATTTGGTACTTTGGTACTAGGCGTGTTGATGGTTGGTCTGGAGTGCCAGAGTATTTAATACGTTTTTATAGTGAACTCTGAGCTTGTATGCAGGGGCGGATCCAGGGGTGGGGGGGTTAATTAGGTGGATTTTCACCTCCCTTTTCTGAGCAGTTATGTTGTTGTTAAGTTGTTATCTGTAATGTTTTTTTGGGGGGGCGAGGCGGGGTTGGGGGGTGGGGGAGTGGAATGTGCAAAAGGGAAATGATTGGTGACAAATAATATTTGAAACGTCAATTAATTCATCGTTGAGCCCACAGACTATAAGTCCAGCATGCAATCCACAAAACGCCTCGTTTTCATGCTGTTGATCACTCCGTGTGCTTCCTTGTCCGCCATTTTGAGTAATCATGCAAAGTTCTATTTTCAAAGTCCGCAAAGTGTACGGCAGAATTGGCATAACTATGACATAATATTACAACTGTTTGAAATGCTTTAAGAATTGCATTTCTGTGGGTGTCAAATTCGAAAATCCTTGGGAGATCTTACACGGACCTCAACGATTGATCCACCCTTTTGGCGCTTGTTCATTAAAGGCTGGTTTTTGCTAGCGACATAAGCGACGGAAGCATAAGCATAAGCATAAGATCGTTATGTTCTAGTGAAAATGAATGTGACGGAATCATAAGCAAAACAATAGGAAGTTTCCCGTGCAGGGGACTGAGTACGAGAATTTGATTGGCTTACCACCTTGTGCTTCTGCTTGTTAGCGACGGAAGCATAAGAATCTGGTTTTCACTAGCGACGGAAGGACGGAAGCAGAAGCAGAAGCATAAGAAAAAGGAAATCTTCCGTTCCTTCTGCATAGTGCAGTTTTCGTATGACTGTGAAAAGTTCACGGCACGAACACGGTCGTGACACGGCAAGGGATACGCCAGACCAATCACATTGCACGAGAATTTACTCTCCATCCAATCAAATACCCGGAACACGGCATAAACACGGCGCGGACACTGTCACGCCAAGATCACGGCATTTTTGGACCAATCATATTGCGCGTGAAAACAATCAGCCAATTAAAATTCTAGAAAGTATCACGGTCACGGCACGTCACGTCACGCTTACGGCACTGAGCTTTTCACAGTCATACGAAAAAAGTATTGTAAACTTTCGTCATACCAAATTTAACTGCCATATCTGCATTTTTTACTATAAAATTTATTTTATCAAAAATATTTTTTTCAAACTTTATATATCGATTTACGTTAACGCAGTTGTATACACTTATTTCAATAAAGTTAGTCACCAAAAAAACCTAGAAAGCTGAGATCACTGAGGATCATGGGAAACTTTTAATATCAAACAAGTAAAGCTTTTGATACAATTTGTAGCTTGAGGATGCTCAGAAGAGGTGAGACTGTAAATGGTAAAAGATCTAAAATCCATCAACAGTTATTAAAGCGGTTGAAACATGTAAAATGTAACTACCCATAATTCTTGCTGGTCTCAGCTTTGTAGCTTTTCAGGCGACTAACTTTATTGAAAGAAGTGTATAAACACTCATACATTTCATTTTACAGTATGTTATGGGTTATTTGTATAAGCCCCACTCCTTCACGTGACCGATGAACTGAAAATCAAGCAAATCGAACTGAAGTTTTAAACGGAGGAATCGCGATTTAAGGCGGAATTTTTAAGTGACTCCATATTGCACATTCAAGACCATTGTGCCACCAGTTTACAAGTGCCCTTTACTCTCTAACCAGTTCTCATCTTTGATCTTTTGAACTATGAAATATTCTGATATTCTATAACTGAAGCGCTAACTATACTTACAGCTTCGACCTTAAGCAGGCAATATTCATTACCATCGAATTGTAGCCGGCTGGATTTGTTTTCGGTTTTCCTGGAGTGATAAATTTTCTTGTTTAGAGAAACTATCTAAAGGAATTTGATGTTTTGGCATAGAAGGTTTCAACACCTGTTGAAGATTAAGGTGACCACTGAGTGAGAACTACATTTAAACCTCTTTGGAAGGCAAAAAACGAGAGTAAAACGGGAAAGGTTTGCCAAAAATTAAAGGAAAAAACGGCAACGCAACACTGAACTTCCACCAAATGAATTCGCTAAAAAAAAACTACAAAAAATTCTAATATATTTCCCCTCCTAATATCTTTTGTTTCTCGAAGTTCTAATTGATTTTTTGCTGAAAACACAAGCTTTCGATTTGAAGAAAGTTCTTGAAATTTTTCTTCTAACTTATCACCTTTTCGTCACTAGTCAATTCTTTGCTTGCAATGCACGTCACTTCCGGTCATTATGTATGCATATTTCCAGCTGACGGTCAAGCATTCAGCTGGCGTACAAAGCAATGTATGTGTTTACAAGTTGTCAAAAGAAAATTTTCGTAAAATATGCCCGATTCCTGTTCAGTTTATGGTTGTTCAAACCTATCTAATAAGAAAAAAGAAAAGGGTTTGTTAGAATACCTAAAGAAGTGGTTCACAAGGGAGATCGGACAAGAAATTTATCAAAAAGACGTCGCCACCGATGGCTGCTATCCTGACTTAACAGTACTGTATCTTCGAAAGGAGTTGAATCTTCACACGCTCGTGTATGTAGCGATCACTTCGTAAAAGGTATTTAACAATTCTATATTTGTTTGAGTTTGAAATTCAGATGTTATTTCTTTGCTTTGCACGTGTTGGTTTGTTGTAAACAATGAAAATACGATGATGCTTGTAGAGTGTTTGTAGGTTCGTCGCGTCGTATCGAAGTCTGTTTACTAAACAAATTCTATACATGTATATCTTATCTAGGTYGTCCAAGCAATATAAATGACGAAGATGACATAGATTGGGCCCCTACGTTGAAGCTTGGCCATCAGAAGATAAAACAAGCCACAGAGAGTTCTATAAAGCGCGGTGAGAGAACAGCAAACAGATATCTGAAACGTCTCCATTCCGAAGCTGCTAGTGCCTTGCTTGACTATAAATGCAGAAGCAAGCTCGGCTGATTGATGAAGAAATCTCTTATGAACAAACCATAGATGATCCGCACCTATCAGCCCAAGGTAAAAATATGTAACTTATTTATTATTTACTTCAAAGCTTTGTTATTGATGCCACGATTCCCTTTTTTATTACAGACAGAAACGACAGAAAACCCGAATCGTCAGGATGCAGAATGCCAGACGGATCTGACCAGCGATCTTTTTTGTGCAATGGAAGAGGAGTTAAACATAACACGTCAAAAGCTCTCCGATTTGCCGGCAAAGACATTAAATGAAAATAAAAAACGATGTTTACACTACAAGATAGTTGGAAATGTCCGGGAACTGAAAGCCAGGAAAGGCGGCGAAATCCTTCGAAAAGTCCTTTGGTTTCATAGAATATGGATCAATTCCATCACAGATAGATATTTCGTTTAAATATCTTGACTTGGGTATGCAGTCAAGATAACTAGCGTACTCTGAAAGAGCGCTTTTTGGGGCAGATTGATCGTTAACTTGACCCAAGCGAGCCGCCATCTTTGTTTACTTGACCGTCACTTGGAAACCGGAAGCAAAATTTCAGGCAAATTGTCACGTGATTGCAAGCAAAGAATTACAGAACCAGCAACTTTATCACTTACTCTCTTAATACAGTCGGTACCATATTTGATTACATACGTGGCCACCCTACCACGCATGCGCTAACAACACAAGGAAACAAAAGAATTTTAAATTCGTCGAAGTTACCAAAAAATCGGACTGACAGTACGTTGGCGCCATGGAGGGGCTTAGCTTTTCTTGACTATATGGAAAAGAAACTTTAGGGAATTTTCACTAAATCTAAAGGTAAGTCTTCAGTTGAATATTTTGCATTTAGATTATCTTTTGGACTTATTGGTAGTTGGTTTGTCGAGAGATTTGAGTCAATGACCGTTGAATTCTTTCGGATGAACAGTCCATGTTTACTAACCATAACTTCCCTAGAAAACCTTGAAATAAAATGTTGAACTCAATAATTATTTTTTAAATCAAAAAGAATTTCTTGGCGAAAACTTTCAACATTTATCGCCAGGAAAATCCAATAATTCAGATATAATATATATTATAAGCTACTAATTGAAATTGAATAATGTGGCAAAAWTTTTTTAATATACTTAAATATATTTTTTTTGAAAGCATTTGTCTTATATTTTTTTACTTCAAATCTCTGATTTGTAGACTTTGTTAAATATGTATTTAAAATTACGGTTTAGACCGCAGGAGAGTAAAGAAAAAATGATTTAAGAAATATTTCTGAAGCTGATTTCAAATTATTGATCAAGTAGATGTCGACGCCATTTTTGCCACCAAACAAGGCGAGACAGGTCGATCAAACTGGTTGAACATTCCATTAAAAATATCGTTCATATTCTCATATTTTTGATTTGTTGCAGGCGATAAGACGTAGTGAAATACTTCCACCGTGGGGCGTGATATAGCCCCCTCTTTTTGACCACGACGAATTGAACTGAGGAGAAAAAGATAACGGGACAAAAGCAACTAGCAAAACTTATATCAAAATGAAGTTGATATTACTAACAATTTGTGCTTTGGCATTTATTAGAACATCGTTGTCCTCGGGTAAGTAAATACTAGAATCTTTGAGCTACTATAATATATGCCCAAACGATCTGGGATACACTTAATTAGCACAAAATACAGTTTAATGTAGCTAAAAGCATTTACATACTTAAACTATAATAAGAACTTAAACAACACTTCTCATTTTTTCAAAACGAGCGAATTCTTTTATAACCAACAAAAAAATTTGTTAAATCTAATTGTGAGGAATATGCCGTTCAAAACACTAAAGATAGAGAACTAGAGATAGAAAAGTTTTGAAATACAATGCAAATGATTCAAATTTTTTAAAGCCGCTACATATTTCAACAGGTAGTACGAAGTAAAAACCTGTTTCGAAACTCTTCCTATTTCGAACTTTGTCAAAGCGAGTAACAATTTAATCAAAAAAGAAAGAGAATACTACAACGAAGGGTTGATAACTATGTTATTTTATGTTCTCTTAGTTTCCTCGGCTTTTTGTTTTACTTAATTTTGACATTTTTTGATAGTTTCCTGATCAATTATAAATAGCAAAAAAATTGTTCACAATAGAAGAATTACTGGTCATTGCTTGTAGTTGATGAATTGGATTTTGCAAAATATTTCGCTCTAAAAATGTCCAAGTCGTTGTCAAATTGGATGGAAATACGACTAATATTCTAAACAATACTTCACTACTTGATAAAATCATAGGAGCGCTGATATTTTCGAAATTGTTTGTCAAAAGCAACAAGTTCAGTCGCTTTGTGTTTGAATCAAGTTTACGTTCAAGATGGCCTGACACCTGTGGTCACTTGCAAGTTTGAAAGTCAAAGATCAAACTGTGTATATTCTCTCTACTGGTTTTTATAGTCTTTAACCAACGAAAAATAACGGTTGAGTGATCAAGAAACCAGTAAAGAAAATCAAACAGAAATCCCATTTAATTTGAATAGATCTCAAATATTGTTTATAAATTGCAATACAATTTGAATTTCTATAAAAACCTTGAATAAACATTTTCCAAAGTTTTTTTACTGGTTGACGATTATTTTCTCCATGAAATGTTAGGAGAAAATAATGAAGCCAATTGAGATATATGAGAGAGAGTATTTATTAAGGTCGGTGCACACTCTAGTAAATGATCTTTGAAGAGTCTTACCTAACTCGCATCGATGAACAGAAGGAAAGATACGAGAAAACGTGCCCTGTCTGAGTTGTGACGGCTGCAGAAACACGACAACGCTGACTGAATACTTTATTTTATTTTTCAGAACCATGCAAGGACCATTTCAATTGTCAAATATATCCAAATTCAACTTGTAAAACAGACGAATGGGTAGTATTGAACTGTCCAAAGAAATGTAACATCTGCCCTACACCAGTGAACCCATTAGAAGGATATGCAGCAGCGCCAACTTCTCATCCGGATGTGGCAATCATGGCACCGTTAAGGAATTATACTTATCCTAAACCTGATGAACCGTCAACGTCGACGATGCATGATTCTCCCTTACCGGCAGCGACTGCTCCAAACCTAGCAGCACCCTACGCGGCTCCTGCTCCAGCTCCAGCCTACCCTGCTCCTGCTCCTGCTCCAGCCTATCCTACGGCTGCCCCTACCGCAGCGTATCCAGCTCCAGTTCCTGCAGAAGCGTACCCTACGGCGGCGCCTACGGCAGCTTATCAAGCTCCTGCTCCGTTGCAGGCTTATCCAACGTCAGCACCATACGCTGCCTACCCTACACCTGCTCCTGCGTACCCGGCCCCAACACAGGGCACAGCATATCCGGTACTGTCACAACCACCTTTACCCGTCTACGGTATGCCAACTGCTTTGCCTACGGCTGCTAATCAATACCCTGTGCTAGGACAACAACCGGTAGCTGCACCTCAAATAAATGAATATCCCAACTGGGTGGTCAAAATACCTCCAAAAGTAACGGAATCGCTTCAAAATCACCCGGAGACTATTAGAATATCGTTCGTCAAGCAACATCAGCCGGTGCAGCAACCTTATGGTGTGCAGGAAGTTAACATGAAACCCAAGAACGACAACGGAATTCAAACAATGAAGATTTCCTTTATTGACGAGAAATCTTCAAAGGCGGTCCCACATGGTGTAGATCAAGTAAGGCTACCGCAACCTCAAACAAATAATGAGAAGATTAGGGTTTCATTTAGACCTCAAGTCCAAACGCCATCTCAGTACCAACCAATAGATGCCCAGTATGGAGCACAGAACGAAACAGGGCCTTTCTCCAATGAACCACAAAGAAATATATCAGTGTCATTTATGGGGCATGAAAACGAAACTTTGTCGAGTACTGTTGGGAGTCGTGCGCCTGTCAGAAATATTACTGTAGCTTTTACTGGACACGAGAACGAGACTGTGAGCGTTCCGCTGGTCAATACGACTGCGGCTCTACCGGAAAGGAATATTTCGGTCGACTTTCAGGGAAACCATGAATTTTCTATGCCTCTTAATGGACAAGGAGCGGAAGATATTGTCAACCAAGTTATGAATGGAGCAAACCAAACAAGTAGAAACATTTCTGTTTCTTTCCTCGAGAAGCCTTTGAGTGCTGGACAAGTCACCGTTGTATCAAATGGTAAGTAGAGTAAAATAATTGTATAGAACGGTCTGAACCCAGGTGAATGAATGTTAATCGAAGTATTATGATCATCCGGGTGGATGTAGTCCGAAACAGCGACTCGCACTCATTAGACCGACGCCGCCAATTACGCTAATCCAGGTAATTAGGCTATTGTTATCGTGGCAGTATAAATATGATCAATCTGACTTTATTCTTCACTTGACTCTGAAGGTGACTTCCGCTCAGGTTGTCGAAACGTCAGTCACATCAAACAGTCCTTCTCAGGACTACATCCACCCGGATGATCATAATACTTCCATTAACATTAGAGTAAAATAAGTAAATACATAAAAGAAAATGGTCAAAGACAGATACAAACTTTCATCTTTAAATTTGGACGAAATGTTTTACACAGCTCGCAGTAAAAACTGAGTATAGAGTGTTTTCACGTGATGTCACAGCGGCCATCTTGGTGTACCAAAACAGAATATATTCTATCCTCAGGGAATTGAACACTATTTTTATGCAAAAGTTGTGCAGAAAGTTTCTATTGGTTGGTACACCAATATGGCTGCCTTGTCAAGTGAGTAAAAACGCTCTATTGTTTTGACACGAGAAGACAAAGACCGGAATAGTCCACTTCTGAGATATGCTTCGCTTGTCACACACAAAGGCTTTAGTATCACGAATCACTGAGCATTTTGAACGAAGCCTCGCATTGAAACCTTTGTTCATGACAAGCAAAGCATATCTCGGCAGTGGATTACTGTATAAACAACGCGGGTCATGCAATATGGGGTGCTCACCATCTACTCGAAAAAAACAACAACAAAACAAACAAAAAACACAAATATAATAAGGAATGGTATACACGAAATTTAGCAAAAACTCTTACTACGGGTTTAAATTCTACCTTAGCCTGAAATGCCGGGGGGGGGGGGGGGGGGGAGAAGGGGGGGGGTGGGGGGGGGGGCAACACACACACATTTTTGTCTGTATGTACTTTTTTGAATTATAGTTTTAAAAAAAGTAAGAAGCTGAATTGAACTAAGACAAAATCAAGAAAAAAAGACTTTGAGCTTTAGTTCATGTTTGTTTAAAAGTAGAGACAGAGTTAAAACCGTTTTCCCGCCCTTAACGTCGTTGCCATGGTTTTCTACTATTCTTACGGTATCTGGTGTCTGGCCGGTGACAACCGGTACAAGACAGTTAGGTTCTTTCATTTTTTTCAAGAACAATAGAAGTGTTTTGAAAAGCCTGTTTATACATGAAAGTCGACGTGATTTGATTTTTAGACAGAAAAGCCCGTAAGTAAATAGTTTTTAGAATGGATGAGGAGAGAAAATTAGGAATGAGCTTTTTTCTCGCTTTTTTTCGAATTTTGGAGGCCAGCTTTGAAATAATGAAACATAGAAAGCTTTATAATTTATGGTCTATGGAGACGAAAATGCATCCATTCACGAGTAACAAAAATAAAATAATCCTTGAATCCAGCTACACAAAGAAAAACCAAACGCGCATGCGTAGTCTTCCCTGCTCCAGTCTATTTAGGGCGGGTGGCCACACAGTACTTCACGAAAGGGCATTAATTTTATATAAAACGCCTGAGCGATTTTCGAATTATAGGATATAACTTCATTGAAACCATTTAAAAATGGCGATGTAGGGTTTGTGCAGATGATGGATCATTATGAAGTAGTTTTAGTTTTTGGAATTCTTGTACAGTTCATATCACAAAATATTTACGGTAAGTGTAGTTCTTATTGTTTGTTCATGTGCTTTTCTACATACAAAGTGATTTTCCTCACACCTTGAAATAGTTATTATAAAAGACGATAGCACATCTTATTTCCATTGTTTTTGTGTGTGTCTTTTTGCCTGTTGTACACTAACTACAAACTGTTTCATAGTCTGTGGAAAATCACTCTATTGGTGTATGAACAAAACTCTCGCTTGAATAGGTACAGCAACGATAATTTCCTTGGTCGGTATTTTATATAATGAAAAAAAAAAAGTCAATATTACTATTTTCAACCTTAGGAATTGTTTATTTTGATATTTATTTGCAAAAATTTAAGCTGTTTTTAAAACATGGATTTCTTTTGCAATGGAGTCATACAGATATATATAGACAATATTGCAATGTTTTTCAGTTCTTTTTATATCTGCAAAAATCAATTGACTGCAAAACCCATCAACTTAACTACAGTCGGCGCAAAATAGAATTTTTCTCCAATTTGATTGATAAATTTGGGGAGAATAGTACTACTTGTTTCAAACACTTTGAATGAAAAATTATGAAAACCTGCAAAAATCATGTTGTCACAATAGTCAAAGTTAAGGACAAAATCAGTTTCTATTTATAAGCGTTGACGGATTTTGATGTTTTGATTATGCAAAGTATTTCTACAACTAAAACTTCAGGGATTGACAAAAACTTTGTTTGCTTGTTTTTTGAATGGAGAGAGTAAACAAATCCTGATAAATAAAGAACTTGTGCAGCTATAAATGAAATCTTTCAAACGGATCTTCCCCAAGTCTTAGTCAATTATGAAGCATTACTTAGTGATTGTAGAGCTAGGGTTTGGATCAGTCATGAATGAAATCTTTCAAACGGATATTCCCCATGTCAATTCACCTTTTCGGCGATAGCCGTCACGTCGTAAACAAATTGTTGGTTCGGACATCGTTCTCGGATTCCTATACAAATTCACTGAGTTAAAAGACAAAATTTAGGTAGATTTCTTTAGTTAGCTCTCTTAACAGAAGTAAGAAAAGCTTCAATCAAGTTAGAAAAATGATATTTTACTTGTATTTAGAGAAATAACTAAATGAACCAAGTAAATAATTCTTTTTAAGTCAGTATATTTGTACGGAAATCCGAGAACAATGTCCGAAATTTTGGTGACCGTAACACAATCCAATACAATTAATACCACGTGACGGCTAGCGCCGAAAAGGTCAATTATGAAGCATTACTTAGTTATAGTAGAGCTAGGGTTTCGATTCTAAAATAGGTCAAATTAAATTTAAATTCAACTAAATGGAATTTTAATATTCGACTCGAGATTTTATTTTATCGTTTTGCCTTACTCTAACACATGGCCGCTGCCGTGAAAACTGTCTATAATGGTAGTTCTAGTCTCACTTTGTTTTCTCTCTCTTCCTCAGCCGCTGGTTCACAACAGTGGAATCCCCCGGTTTCTACAACCACACGTAAGTAAACAGCTCAAATGTTTTAATTATTGGTCAGTAGTCCCCTTCACAGTTCCCTGCGCCATCTTGAAAGGTAGCCGTGCCTTTCCATCGAAGCGAGATGAACGGTGAGCTTGCAATGCATAGAGACCTTTTTTAACACCTTGGACAATTATTCACATGTCTCTATAAGCCTTTTCATAGTTTAAGAATCGATTCAACCGCGCATGCGATTTCATCCCGAATTTCTCATTTTCTTTTGTCTAAACCTTCTTTTGTTCTTAATTAAACAAAAAAAGGTGAGAAATTCGGGATAAAATCGCAGGCGCAGTGGAATCGATTCTTAAACTATGAAAAGGCTTATTATTGCAGGGAACTATGAAGGGGACTATTTCTCCCATTTAAAATGCATGTCAAAATCAATATGAAGCGATGTCCTTCTCTAATTTGGTTGCTTGAGTGTTGCTTGACTAGGGCTTCGTTTAAAGATCAAATCATTTGCAAAAGTAAATTTTAATGTAAAGGATGTGCAGCTTGAACAATACCAATGTTTTGAATAACAACGGAATTTTAATGGTATCTGTGAATAGCTGACTTATAAGCGAGGCCAAGCCTGTATAAATGAGTGTGAGTTCATCAATAACATCAGCTGGCATTAAATAAGAAAGAAGAGTACGAAGGAAGAGTACAACTCCAAATTTTTAAACATGTTTTTTTTATATATTTCTAGCAATAAACAGCAACCCATGGTGCCAGGATCACCCGGGATGCAGTCAGTATCAAGATAAAGAATGTGACAAAAAATGGATGCAGGTCAACTGTCCTGCAACATGTAACCTATGCGGAAATGGTATGCCTTATAAGTTTAAACTCGTAAATATCGATAATTTTCCTTAGATTAGGTGGGGCAATCAAAAACAGTTTAATATTATCAAATGTATTTTCCACAGACTTCACTGACCAAATAACTCCACAACAAACATATAAACAACTCAGCGTCAACGTTCCACCGGAACTGACGTCATCACTCGAGACTTCCCGTGAGCCAGTAGTGGTTAAGATTGCTACAGAGGGAGGTGTGGCGGAAATCAGTAAGGAAACTAATGGACCAATCATGGAAAGGATCAACGTTCACTTGCCATCAAATTACCTCTATGATCAAGCAGCACATAGTGGGTTAACTAGTCCGCTGACCAACAGTATTGCAGGGCAGGGAGCACAAGTGCCTGAAGGTATGGAAGTGGTTGCTTAGCAACTAAAAATGTTGTCATGTAACTTTTAGGAAATATTTAGTATTCTACGAACCTCTAAAACATGTTCATGCTCTTTTACCTAAAAATTTTTAAGGCTTTAATTCTTGGTTTGCAGCCAAGATAAAATGATAGTGAGCGACAGAAAGGCAGGGAGAGAAAATATAGCGGCCAAGACGTTACCCGGAATCACAAATAAAAATAGAAAAACACTTCGGTAGTAAAAAACCAAATAGCAAAAAGTACCTTAACTCGGCACATGTTGCCTCTGTTCAAATTTAGCTTCTACGTCGCGTAGTCACGTGAAAGTTACCACGGTAAACACGTATGAAATAATATAAAATTGTAGATAAATTTAGCCGAATTTTTGTAATTTAAAACTGAATTTTTTCTATCAGTCCTAGAAATTTCTTTGAAGATTGTATTAGATGGATATTATAGTTTTGTTATTTTTATTAACTTAAAGCCAAGTGGTGTAGTGATAAACCAGATTGTTATAAATATTCACGTACCCAATGCGGAGAAGGCTGGATGAAAGAGAACTGCCCCAAGATGTGCAAGTATTGCCGGCGTAAGTTGAATGCGAGTTGTTACAAATCACGTGACGTGTTGTCATGACGACTAATTTTGATGCGAACCTCTGAGAAGACCGACAATAACGAGTTTTTAAATGTAACGAAATGTTTATGGACATCGACAAAATCGCCAAAACTTTTCGACACTTTGTGAGTCTCAAAAAATATGATAACACATAAATACTGAACAAGTAAAAAAGGCCAAAATGTACAAGAATAAAGACAAAAGATAAAGAAGAAACGAACAAAAAACAAAAAACAAAAATGAAAAAACGACAGAAATCTAATGAAAGTTCACAAAATGTCTCATTTTTTACCAGCCATTTGTGAGGATAAAAGCAATGAATGTGCGCGATATTCGTCTGAGTCCTGTAGTAGCGACTGGATGAAGGAAAACTGCCAGAAATCGTGCGCTTTGTGTGAAGGTTTGTGCACTTTTGATGCTTCGTTTTGAGGCTTGTTTATTTGATTTATGTTATTTAACGCACGACCTCTAAATTGACAGAAAAACTGACTTCTTTCAACAACAGAATTGAAAAGTTAAAAGCTTCTAAAGTGATTAACAGACATTTTGCAAATCATTATTATCTTGCTGGATCAATAATTTAACCTATTCAATACTCAATAAACCCTTATGACAGTCAAGCATGACACAAAGTGAGAAGACTGCATTTAATAACTGATAACCGAATGACACAAGAATTATAGGTGTTGCACATGTCTCATACTATTAGTAATAACAATGACAAGATTAACTTGATATACAACATTTGTAACTTTATAGGACTGATATAATTCCACCTAACAATTAACTTCAATTTGTAGACTAGCGAGTGTTGATTGGTACGAACGAACTTGAATAGAAAACCGACACTGTGCTGCAACATAGTATATAGCATGATAAAGAGTCTAAATGAACGAGATTAGCCACTGATATAATTTAACTACACGCTAAACTAAAGTTAATAGACGATCCATATGAATGGTACGAACGAACTTGCATAGAAAACACTGTGCTGCAACATAGTATATAGCATGATAAAGAGTCTAAACTAACGAGCTTAGCCACTGACATAATTTGACTACACGCAAAACTAAAGTTAATAGACAATCCATATGAATGGTATGAACGAACTTGCACAGAAAACAGTGTACTATGACAAAATATATAGCATGACATAGAGCTTAATCCTGAACGAGCTTAGACAGTGATATAATTTGACTACACGCTAAATTAAAGTTAATACACGATCCACATGAATGGTACGAACGAACTTGCATAGAAAACAGTGTACTATGACAAGATATATAGCATGACATAGAGCTTAATCCTGACAGAGTTATAATATAACCACATGATAACAACTCAAGTTAATAGATAAGCGATAATAATGCATGATACGAACGACTTACATAGAACACTGCGCTATACCATACCATGGTATACAGAACCTGAAACTAGATGAGCTAGACAAGTGCTAGACAAGACTTGTAAGGCAAACTATGTGCTATAACATGGCACAAGGCATAATACAGAACTTAATGCTGAACACGTAATCAGACGAAGTAATTTTATAATGCATGATACGAACAACTTGTACAGAAAACTCTTTGCTATAACCTGGCCCAAAGCAGAATACAAGCCTAATGCAGACCAAGTAATCAGACGAAGTAATAAAATAATGCATGGTACGAACAACTTGTACAGTAAACTCTGTGCTATAACATGGCACAAAGCATAATACAGAACTTAATGCTGAACACGTAATCAGACGAAGTAATAACATAATGCATGATACGAACACGTTGTACAGAAAACTCTGTGCTATAACATAGCACAAAGCATGAAACGAGCCTAATGCTGACCAAGATATCAGACTCGAAGTAATAAAATAATGCATGATACGAACGGACTTACCTACCATCGACCGAGGACACAAGCTGTATATTTGTTTTGAAGAATCTGCAAACAATCATAAGAACTTTTTATTTTGTTGTTCAAAATTCTAGGATTAGAAAACCAGCAACAAGATACGAACAAGAGTAAGTATCGCAAGCTAAAATGATGGTATAAAACCAATTTTTCCATATTAGTAAGGTGAACAATATAAAATGAGGTAAAATGAAAAAAAAAA